GTCGGCTCAGCGCGGCAGCCATTTAAATTTAAATGAAGCCGTGATTATTTAAATCCAGGCTTCATTTCCCTTTGCCAATCAGCCTAATCTACATGGGTCCATCGATGGAGCCATGTAGTTTAGACACACCCTATGTGAGGAGAGAAGGGAGGTGCCCGCAGGTATGAGGGGCAGTTTTGTATTTTATTGTGATAGCTAGAATGGGTTGAACCTCTCAAGTCTGGCACCCTTGGGACCTGACCAGCGCCAAACTAGAGAATTTGCTGGACCACGGGAGTTGAATAATGTCTAATAAGGATGTTTAAGTATCGACTAATTGACTAATCGAATAGTTGAAGCATTTTGCATGGACTATTTGATTAGTCGAGAGGGCGCCTCTGCCTTTGAAGTATAGCAACAGCCCTAGGGCGAAAGCGCTATATGGAGCCTGACGCCAGGCTCCTCGCGGCGTTTCAAAGGGGCAGTGCGGCACAGAGCACAGGATCAGCGGGAGAGTCCCCAGCTGATCCCAGGCTCCACGTGGTGTTGCTGCTTTGAAACGCCGCATGCAGCTTGGGGACACCCCAGCTGGCCCCAGGCTGCATGCAGCATTTCAAAGTGGCAGCGTCGCATGGAGCCTGGGGTATGGCCCTGGGCTCCACGCAGCGCTGCTGCTTTGAAGTACCCCCTCCGCTTCCCCCCATTGCTACTTCTATCTGATAGAGGCAGGCAGGTGGGGGGAGGGAGGAAGCGACTTATTGACTAGTCCTTCACACGCCTATTGTCTAGCAGCATTACCAACACTTCCACTGCTTACTGGGCTCTGAGAAGACACTTCGGGGTCAATTAGAGCTAAACAACAACACAGAACACTGAAAGCCAGGACTGGTGGCTGTTAACGAACTTTATGGGACCACAGGAAACTTGGCTACACCCACGATAAGTGGACATCCGGCTCACTAACATCATGCCGGACCACAGATGTTGCCAGACCAGAAGGTGCCGGACTAGAGAGGTTCAACCTGCAGTTACTTCAGACGACCCCTACTGGTGTTCAGTGATAACTGCACCCTGGTTTGCCACTTGCTGGCTGAGCCTCACCCTCAGTGAAGGGCATGCTCATAATGGAGGTCGACCCCACTCATTATTACGCTGCCTTGCTTACCTGGCCTATGGAGACCCTGGGGGAAGTGCCTCTGCATTTCTCAGGGGCATCGCTGGGCTTACAGAGGAGGCCTGTCATGGCGGAGGAGCTGGAGCCGCCGCTGACGTCTGCTAGGGAATCTCTCCAATGGAGGCCCGTGGCGGGAACTGGCCCTGTGAGCGCTAGCTTTCGTGGCGCCCCTTTCCTATTTCTTTCTTGCATGGACAAGGCCCTCCACTCCCCCTATGTGCGTGATATGCTTCACCAAAGCTCTTGGCCATGTGTTCAAAACATATCTGATGGCCAATTACAACTTTGAGTTCAGGAGCTGGCCCGTGGACTTCCGATGGGATGAGGCCGGCTGCCCAGGGAGGAGCCCCGGCCACAAGGCTGCGTCCCAGACCACCGCCCAAGAGGCTCTGCTGAGATCAGCATCGCACGGAAGGCCTCACCCTGCTCAGTGTAGCTGTCTCCGCAAGATGAGGCAGTTGCCTAGCCGGCTGGTCTGCTACGTCATGGCTCACTCCTTAGGCCGGTGGCTGCTTTATCCTGGCTCCCTGTACGTCATGCAGAAAGCCCTGCTGCCTTTACTGGTGAAGGGGCAGGCTCGCCTGCTGGAGGAGTTTCACGGGAAGCGGGCCAAGCTGATGGCGTGCGACGGGAACGAGATCGACACCATGTTTGTGGACAGGAGGAAGAGCGCAGGAGTGGAGGAGGAGCAGCGAGGGAAACGGCTGGTGATCTGCTGCGAGGGGAATGTGGGTTTCTACGAAGTGGGCTGTCTCTCCACCCCGCTGGAGGCCGGCTACTCGGTCCTGGGGTGGAACCACCCGGGCTATGCTGGAAGCACGGGCCTGCCCTTCCCGGAGAATGACGCTAACGCGATGGATGTGGTGATTCAGTATGCCACCTGCCGCCTGGGTTTCCCGGTGCAAGACATCATCCTCTATGGCTGGGGCTGCCAGGACTTCCCCAGAGCTGGGGGCCCTGATGCTGGACGCCACCTTCGACGACCTGCTCCCCCTGGCCCTGAAGGTCATGCCTAAGAGCTGGACCAAGCTGGTGGTCCAGACGGTGCGGCAGCACTTCAACCTCAACGTGGCCGAGCAGCTCTGCAGCTACCCGGGGCCAGTGCTGCTGATCCGGAGGACCCACGATGAAGTCACCACCACCCACGTCCGCACCTCGGACCAGCTCGCTGACATCCGGTCCAACAGAAGCAACGAGCTGCCCCTTCCGGGGCTGACGGACGCCTCGCCTCGAGGTGGAGGACGACTGGTGTGTCAGCAAGTTGCAAAGCTACAAATCCTGCCTCGGAGGTGAAGACAGCTTCCCCTGGAGGGTCGGGAAGGACTTGACCCCCAGGAGAAAGCAGCAGCTGGCCTTGTTTCTGGCCAGGAAGCACATGAAAAATGTGGAGGCCACACACTGGTCTCTCTTACTGCCCGATGAGTTCCAGATGCCCTGGAAGCTATAGCTGGGGAAGGGTAGGATGGTTACCCCAGGGGGGAGAGAGAGAGGTTGGACTTAACAAGCCGGGGTTTCCCTCTTCAGTACGCTCGTGGTGTGTGTTCCCAATCTGAGCGCCCAGTAAAGATGAAGTGATGAGCTCTGCAAGCACCAAGGAGCATTATTTCACCCCGGGGGCAGTGGATGGATGGAAATTAAAGTGGTTGAAAGATTCGTGACGTTGAAAATGATTTGCAAATACCACTGGGTCCCAGGAAGGGGGGCAGGCCAGGGAAGGGCAGAAGCTGGCTGGTTTTTCACCCCGTCCACCTGGCCATCTTGTGTCCCCCCCCAGCTGCTGCCCAGGGCATTGTTGAGCTGTGACTCAGGGACCTGAGAGGTGGGATTGTGACATCACTGTGCTGAGAGGTGGGACAATAGCGGTGAAACGTCCCACCCACTGTGTCCTCCATCTCCCGAACCCCTGCTCCCGCTGGGCATGCGGGCTCCTGGGAGAGGTACATCACCCCACCCTTCTTCTTCGCCCCGCCTTCTCATTTGCATTTTGCACTCTCATTGGGTGAGTCAACGGCCTGGACATGGCAGGCAGACCAGCTGCTCATAGGGCATGTCTAAACTACATGCCTCTGGTGACAGAGGCATGTAAATTAGACATACCGACATAGTCAGTGAAGTGGGGATTTATATATCCCCCACTTCATTCGAATAAAAATGGTCGCCACGTTGTGCCGGCTCAGCTGTTTGTCGGCACGAACCGGCAGTCAAGACGGGGATCGGTCGACAAGGAAAGCCTTTGCCGACCAATCCTGTAAACCTCGTTTCGTGAGGCATAAGGGATCGGTCAGCAAAGGCTTTCCTTGTCAACCGATCACCGTC